GACTTTACCGAATTCTTTTATGCATGTACTTACGATAAAAAGAATTTTTAAATGATATTTATTTAGTTATCTCTATTTTATTAAATTTTATTCGGAAAGCATGATTCTTTTGATGTTCTTATCGAATTTATATAACATAAACCTTACGTATCAGTTTCCTTGATACGTTAGATTAATCAGTAATGACCGGGTTTAAATTATTTGATTGGTATACGAAAAAAAAAAAGATGTTTTGTGGTAATATGGGATGATTCCTAGAAAAAATCAAATTCTCGAATTTTTTTTCAAAATAATTTAGACCTTTATTGCATTATAGTTTTAATGTTATTAAATTAAAATGCAATAAGAATCAAAAAGTTCTTTTCCTAGTAATCATTCCACACATAATTTTTTCATCGAACCATTATATTGACGGCATTATCAAAACATCAAATACATTCAAAATTCTCCTTTAAAAAAATCAAAAGATCTATATTCAATGATTTAAATATCAGCATAAAATTCAAATGAAAATATCAGTATCTATCTAAAAATCTATTCATAAGAAACTAAATTTTATTACCAATGAATATCAAGTTTTCCATATGTTAAAGACTTATCATAAAACTTTTAAAATTAGTGGACTTTTTTTTTGACCTTCTTCTTTTTTAACTTTTAAAATATATTATGATGGTTGAAATTAATTATAATGATTAAAATCTATTATAATAGATAAAATTCATTATAATAGTTAAAAATTAAAAATAATTTAAAAATCAATAAAATATTTATTATTATTACTACTACTATTATTATTATTATTATTAAAATTTGCAATTTATTAATGTATTAATATCAAAATTATTACGACTATAATTAAAATTTACTGGTTCTTCAATAACTACTCTTATATCTACTTTTAACCTTCTTTGAAATTCTTGATTATTAAAATCAAAATCATTTTTCATAATTATTTTATTATTTATTTTTGGTATTTCTTTTTTATTTTCTTTAAAATCATTTTCATCATTATTATTATTACTATCATTATTATTTAATTCTTCTTGTTATTCTCCAATTTTTTCATCAGAAAATTCTGTAATATTTAAATTTTGATTAATTGCTTAAAAATTTGTGTTCTTCAGTAAAATCTGAATTGA